CCATTATTAACACCAGCAGATAGAATTTAGCATGCTATGTATTGTGTGCTAGAGTGGGGAGAATTTTGTGATTCAGCTTCTGCAAAAGACAGTATCCAAATATAGAGAAGGTTACTGGGAAGGTGACATTATTTTCCTCCTTACCATTCTCTCTCCACTATCAAAGCACTCTTCAGAAACACTTAAGCACTAATGTCTGGTATCTAATCATCTGGGCTTTACAGAGGATTTGAACAGTGGAGGATGTAAAGGATTTCCTCTTTCCCTAGCAAGTGCCTCCCATTGTGGTGACAAGGAATGTACCTCGGCTCCCACTCTGGGTCTAAAAGAAGCTGCTAAATACTGCTCTGGAGGGGGCTGTTTTTTAAAGGCTGTATCTGTGACACTGTGGTGAAAAGTGTCATGCACACAAGAGGAAAGAGGTACAAGCAACAGACAAACAACCCAAAGGAATCATAGAATTGTTTGGGTTGAAAGGGACCTACAAAGGTCATCTTGTCCAGCTCCCCTGCAATAAGCAGGGATATCAAGTAGACCAGGTTGCTTAAAGTTCCATCTAGCCTGGCTTGAACACTGCCAGGGATGGGGTATCCACCACCTTTCTGGGCAACCTCATTACAAAAAATGTCTTCCTCATGTCCAATCTGGATCCCCCTTCTTTTAGTTTAAAACCATTCCCCCTTGTCCTGTCACAACAGGCCTGCTGAAAAGTCTTCCCCCATCTTTCTTATAGGCCCCTTTTAAGTACTGAAAGGCTGCAAATAGGGTCAGGGAAGAGGTTTAGGGTTAGGGTGACAGCTCTGGGAGTTCTGAGTTGATAGTCCAGTTGCTGGCACTGTCCAGTGCTGATTTATGGGAGTGATGGGGATGTTTGATTTAATGGTGAGAGTCCTGCTCAGTGAGAAAAAAATGTTTGGAATCAACTGTCATAATTTTAAGAAAGGTTTCATAAAGGTGCTTTATATGTAAACACCATTTTGAGTAAAATCCTCAAGAAAATGGAAATGTTTGATTTAGATAGTAATGCAAACAGAAGGAAATTTCTTCACACATGTTACATGACCAATGTGTTGATTATGTACTTAAACTCTTAACATGGTAAGGAGTATTCTGGCACTGTGTGCTATAGTGCTATAGAAAATGCTGAGTGGCACTGTTAGCAGCAACTTCTCAATTTTCTTTATACTTAGAGACAACAGGATTGATAGGAAGGTGAGGTTTTACTTGTTACTACCTATAAGGGACCAGTAACAGTTTGGAGAACAGTCATGGGCTCACAGAGTATTGCAGTATGGCTTAATTTGTATCCTATGATACCTATGCAGAATGTGCTTTTGCAAACACACAGAACCTGCTTTTTGGTGATGGTGTGACTTTTTTTCTATTGCAACTTAAATTATTCTTGTAAATACTGTTGGTTTATCAGCCATAAATCTCATACATCTGTCGCAGACAAAAATGTACCTGCTTTGGGGCAGGTTGGCAGCATCTGGTACCAGTCTGAAATCCCCCACACAGCTCATGTTGGGCTGGATATGCAGTGTCCTCAATCTTACCTCTATGGGAGATGCAAAACAGGAGAGTTACAACTCAGCAGCTGCAAGGTAGATTTTGTTCTTAATATAGTCCTGCTTCAGGTACCAAGGTACTATAAATTCCTATGGGTGTTTATGAGACAAAAGCCTTTACAAAAAGAAAATAGAGAAGAGCAGTTCCACACATTTTGCCCATGGCAACTGAAGTAATGTAAATGCTGGAGCAAGTTAAACTATTTCAGGTGAGCAATGCTGTCCCAGTGCAGTGGAGTTGTGATTGTACTTTAAAATAACTTAAATTAACCTCTAAGTTGAACAATTATTCCATTAAAAGTAAGATGACATAACCTTATCAGCTCAGCAAAATAAAGTTCACACAAAGGTTACCGTGAGCAAATATTACTATATTTAAATATTCTGGAATGATTACAAATGTTTTTTTCTCTGTCATGACATAGCACTTATGAACACTGTTTATAAAAAGAAGTTGGCTCCTGTTTACTCTGTATCATTGTGCAGTGAAATCATTAGGCACTGTTTAAAACTGACATCAAGATTTCTGTTTACATTGCATAGCGACCCCATGAAACTCCTTGCTACAGGATTTCACAGAGGCCACGAGCTAAGCAGGAGTCCAAAGCCTGTTGTGAAGATTACGTGAACCGTGAATCTGAGAAGGTCTTTTGTGAATTTTGTGTCAGTTCCTGTGTTCCATGTGTGTCTTTGATTGAAAACACCAACTGAGGAAGTAGCAGCTTGTAAAATCGTGAAGTCCTGAGAGTTGGGAAGGGAGTGAGGGAAAAGCAGCTGCTGGGATCATTGGGGAACACTGGGAAGGAGGAGAAGAGACAGAGAGAGGCCTGGCTGTGTGGCATGGCGACAGAAGAGGTGGGAAGGAGACCAGGCAATGGGAATGGCAACGCTGGGTAAAGGCTGGGAACCACTGTCCTAATTTATGAAAATTATGGAGAAAGTTCTTTTTACATCCTGTTATTCTATTTCTGGATATCTTCATCAGAACTGTTTGGTGATGGTCATCCTTGGACATAGGATACCAGACTATGAGGTGCATTCATCTAGGAATAACTTGTTGGGTTCATATATGTTCCACAGAAGAAATGCTCATATTTTTTAGTGCTTCCTGGTGAAAGTTCCTGAAGCTGGATGGTGCAGAATGTCAAAGGCTTCAGAAATACAGTGTGCTGGGAAAGATGCACAGCCACTTCCTGAAGAATTTTATAAATAAACATTACACAACATAATACAATGATTTAAACAATATTTCTGATAGATGGTTATACTTCCCCATTACAGCTTGAAAGTAAATTTAACAGAAGGAATGGGTGGGACAGTGGAAAATTACTCCAACAAACAGTGGTTCCTATCTTTTAAGTTCAGTGAATAGGACCTTTCACCAAAAGCAGGAATGCCACTGGAATTCATTAGGAGTGGCATTTCCCTGTTTAGCTGAAATTAGAAGAATTGTATTTAATTTCCTTCCCCAAAGTTGTTCCAGAAAGAAAATGTGATCTGTCAGATAGTTAATAAATGGGGTTTTTGTGCTTGCAGTCTTAATATTTGGTTTACAACAGAAAACGAGTAACTTGAGCACCTTGTTAACTTAAGTGCTCTGCTGTTTTCCCTTGGAAGTGTTAAACCTACACGTTCAGAGTGACTTGGCTATTGGGCCACTTCAGATTATGAACTTCTAACGTGAATTGTGAAAAAGTCTCAGCATAATTTTTTCTGAAAATTAAGTCTCTTCCAGATGTCTTCCAAGTCAATGTCCTGTGATCCTTTGTCACCCACTCTGTCAGGGACTGGCACCAGTACGTCAGAGCAGCAGAGTTACAGGGGCAGAGCTGGCAGCAAGAGGCTGCATGTTAGGGCAGAAGATGTGGCAAGGGCAGCCCAGCAGAATTCCATTGTCACAGTGAATAACTGCAGTGAGCACAGGTATTATACCTTGTTCCCAGTACTCCCAGACCTTAAAGGCAACTCCACGCAGCAGTGAGGTTCCCTCTCAGCTAGGATGTCACAGTTCTTCTTGAGGCCCTGGAATAAATTGTTTTAGGAAACTGTTTTAGGCTTTAAAAGCCCCATATATTGTCATTTGGGATCAGAGAGGAAGGAGGCAAGTACAGCTAATGCTGATGTTGCTTCTGAAAGCTCTGCCAACCCACAGTCTATGTGACTGTGATACACTAATCCTCAAGCTGACAATGCCTGCTGGGCTGCCAGCTACCAGAGAGGGCTATCGCTTTTCAGTCCTTCCTATCTTTACAGATAGAGCTCAGGTTAGTGACACGCACAGTGAGGAGAGACCATGCACTGGCAACAGGAAATTTTTCTACTAATTTCCAAAAGTATTTCCAAAGTTTTATTTTTTCATCACTTCGTTATTTTCCTACCTACTGAATCTGCATATATCTTAAGGTTAAATATCAAACCTAGTTGGCCATATTTGATCCTTTGATAATCACTATCAGCTCACAGCTAACGCTATTATAGCAGCAGTGTGCTATAAATAGCCCATTTCATTATATAACTCAGTGGAAAGATTTAGAAGCCTTTGCCCAAAGTCAGAGATGTATCAGAAGGGTTTAGGGTTTTTTATAGCATTTATTTCACCAGCTACTGGAGCCAGATGCCTTATAAGCAGAGGAATAATAAGTAATAAAATTAAACTAAAGGTTGTGAATTTGAAAGCATATCACAGCCGTGAATTAGTGGTCAGTTCAGCCACAAAGCCTCTTCTAGGCCTGACCTTGGGGACAAAGCTGCCGTTCTTGTCAGCTGCCAAAAGTGATTTCAAGCTGTCAGACTTGGCAGCCCCCTTTTACAGAGCCAGAGGTCTCACAGATATCAAGGCAAATTTGTCTGAAGTCATGTAGGGTGAGGTCTATAATAATTGGATCCTGCACTCTGGTACCAAACCAAACAGAAACAGAAGAGCATAAAGGACAAATGGAAAAGAAAACATCCCTCTTCCAAACTTGATTGCACAGAGCAGAAAAGCTGTTCCGCCTGCACATGCATATAGTTATGGTTGTACGGTTGTGCAGCTGTGCAGAAAAGCAGAACTAGATTTTGACATTAAGAACCTGTCTTGAAAACAAAATAAACCATTAAATTCCATACAAAACATGATTAATGATGGTAATAAAATCATAGCACTGACAATTCCGTATAGTCTATTCACAGAATTTATAACTCAGCAAATTGTCCTACTATAAAATTTCATATGAAAGTAAGGATTCTGACTGTTTGGAAGTGAAATTGTGTTTTCCAGGCTCTAATTTTTCACTGAACCTTATAATTTCATTAGAATACTTGAGGAGTCAGTTGCCAGGAAAGTGTGCTCTGGTTTCCTGAGCTCAGGTTTCTTGCCGTGACTGTGCTTCCAAGAACTTCAGCAGGTAAAATTAGCAGGCAAACACGATCACTGGAGCTTCGTTGTCAACAGTTAAAACTTGAAGGAGCATTTTTGTATATGGCTGAAACCAAGAGTGGTTTCAGTAGCATCTACAAAGAACAGGGAAAAATTATCAGCTCAGGATGTCGTCTGAGGAGGAAGACCAGCCAGAGACCCCCATTGGCTCCCCTTGGTCCTGGGTAAGAGATTAAGCCCTAAGGTTGCGTAAACAACACAGTTCTAGAAAAAAGGTAACAAGCTGTGTCGTGGAGCCTAGATAGAGCTGAGCCTCATCAGGTTTCTTACTCTCCTGTTGAAGTTTGTGTTTTATTAATGGTTAGATTGTCTGTTCTAGTTCTGTGGACATTAAAAAGAAAAAAATGGGAAGGGGAAAATCATCTTTTGCTTCTGTTGTGTACTTTGGGTGCTACAAGAAAACCTGGCTGATGCTTTGCTGTCTCATTGGCTGTGTAAGGCAGCACTGTTGAAAGATAACTTCTAGGTATAATGGAGGGAAAATGATGTAAAATGAATGTAAATGAAGGAGCGTAAATGGTTTCTCTGAAGTTCTGCATTACAATAAAAGACAGTGAGAACCCTATTCCAAATTACAGAAATGTCTTGCCCTTGTTTCTTTAGTAAGATAATGAAAGACAGCCTGCACTGATGGTCCACTGACAGTGGCTGCGTGGTCCTGTGTTTTAAGATCTTTATGATCTTAAGATGCTTTAAGATCTTTAAGATGCTTAATGCTGCTAGGGAGGATATTGGCCAGTCAGGTTTTCTGATGGAAAAAGAAGAGGCACTCGCTCCGAAAGGTTTCTAAGTATTTGTGGTCAAGCATGAATGTGTGTGCACTGGTGTTGAACTGGTATTTCCTGTAGGTACCCATGGAGTTATCAGAGACAGTTGCATTTTGAAGATAAAAGGCATAGAATAAATTGGTTTAGCTGATGATAGGAATGTGGACTTAAAATTCTCATCATTAGAGGAACATGCAGGGAGGATGAAAAGGAGTACCAGTTGTTCTCACCATCAGGGCACAGGTTTCCTGGCAGGCAACAACATCCCTGTGTTGGTGAATATCTATTTTTTGACGAGTAGGAAGATAATTATAGATGTTGATTTCTTAATCAAATGTAAGTGGCAACTTTTATTTCCACTGAAAATACCCTACAGACTGAGCAGAATGGAGGCTGCGCGTGGAGAGATACGTACTGAATAGTTAGCTGATGGTTGGAGTGCTAAGGAACATCTAACCTACATACAATATAACTCAAACTCTTGAGTATTAACAGAGAAGGTGGGGATAGATTAAAAACAAACAAACAAACCAACAAACAAAAAACCACAAAAAAACCCCTTCTAAGGTCAGAGGATTTCTGGCTATCAGTTTTATTAAAGTCAAGATGTCCTACACAACATATTGACTATTACAGCTGTATGATGTGTACTTCAGCTTAAGTTTCTCTCTGGGAATTTCCTTCTCATGTAAGACTCCTAAACTATCAAGGGAAATTATGGATCTTGGTGTTCCATGGAACAATCTGTTCTGCAACAAATGTGTAAGTTTCATTACAAGATAACTAAAGAGTGTTAATTCAGCATAAGAAGCATATTGGATTTCTGATAGAAATAGATGTACTAAAGATGATTTGATACAGTTGCTATTGGCCTTCAGGAGCTGCTGACTGTGCTTCTGCTAAGGACTTCAGAAATAAAGCACCATTTGCCTCAATAGATATTCTGAAGTGCTTCTGCATGTCTGCACATTGTAAAGTGCAGAGAAAATTGTGGTCCTGGGAGAGGATGACCGAATACATATATCTGAAAGAATGAAAAGCTCATAATAGAGAGCTCTTGGATAAATGATTCCCTAGGTACACAAAGATAAACAGAAGAGCACTGGGCTTTGAAATGTAGCATGTAATTAAAAAAATGATATACTTCCAGAAGAAAGAATTATTTTTTTAAGCATCTAGACTTCAAAACACTTCCTCTGATTTACCATGATATTGCAAGAGGACCCCACAAATATGATTTCATGTAGACATTTTCTTTCCCTGAGGATATAAATGAGATTATACATTTCCATCCTTTTCAGAGGAGGAATAAATAAAAAATAACAAATAAATTATGCACCACTGAGAGAACACTGGTATAATATGGTGGGGATGGTGCTACTAGAACTTAAAGACAAGTGCCCTTAGACTTGAAACAGAAAGATTCTTAGGAAGACAGCTTTACAGTAACTCCACAAATTAAGCAGCAAGAAAAAAATACTTTAAGAACCTTCATACCTTAAGTACTAAAAGAAAATCCAGTTTCTTGTCCACTTTTGACCAGTCATTGGCAATGTGATGGCATATGAATTGGCATATGTCATGGAGGACACAGAAGAAGTTTCTTTATTCCCGTGATTAGTTTGTTTGGATTCCAGCTTTTTTCACTGTTTTCCCAGTTTAGTTGTATGTTTTTGTTTTACAGAATGCCCACATTCTCTTTATTTGGGTTGTTCAGTCTGGAAGAGAAGGCTCAGGGGGGATCTTATTGCTCTCTACAGCTACCTGAAAGGAGCTTGTAGTGAGGTGGGGTTTGGTCTCTTTTCCCAAGTAACAAGCAATAGGACAAGAGGTAACGACCTCAAGATGTGCCAGGGGAGGTTTAGATTGAATGTTAGGTTACAATTTCTTCACAGAGAAGGTGCCCAGGCATTGGAACAGGCTGCCCAGGGGAGTGGTGGAATCATCACCCCTGAAAGTTTCAAAACCCATGTAGATGAGGCCCTCAGTGATACGGTTTAGGGGTGGACTTAGCAGTTCTGGGGTCTTGATGATCCTAAAGGTCTTTTCCAACCTAGCTGATTCTGTGATTTTTTGATTCTATGGTTCTATGTGCTTGAAATCCCTGTGCTCCCGGTTCGGCACCTGTCTTGCCAGTGAGACAGTGTGAGGTTTCTCAGCAGGAGGCATGTCAGGCTGTATGGTTGTTGGTTTGCATGGAGAGCCACCAGCTGGAGTGGAGGGGTTCAAGGGTGGCTGTGCAACTTCCCTTCCAAACAAATCTTCCCCAAAACAGCCTCTGTTGGGCCATGTGTGGAGAATGTTTATGCTCCCTCAGCCTAGGGCAAACAGCAATTGTACTCGGCATGGTGATGGAACTATCTTGGGTTCAGACACAGTGCCTGGCCTGACTTGTCCCCTCCCATTCCTGGTCATTGCTGCCTGCCTGCTGTGTCCTTCCAGCAGCCCCATTAGTCAATCTGGGGGGGAACTTTCTGAGTGACACTTTGTAGAGGGCATTGAAAACCACTAGCATATTTAGCAAAAAAATACCCAGCCCACTCTGGAGAAAAGAGACTATACTAATACATCTCCAAGCTCTCCATATGGTAGGTTTTCTTTCAGTAAGACATTGCTTCTTTTTTTTTACCCTAGAACTAATGAAATACAGTGTGCTGTGTATCTTAGCGAACAGGTGCTGTCAACGCTATTCACATTCAATTACAGAAACAACTAGGACAGACACAGAGAGAACTCACCCATCCTCATTATCACCAAATTTTAGAGCAGGACTGGGCCTGTCAAAGCATAGCCGGCACAAGCGGATCTGTGCAAATTCCTGAATCAAATACAAACTTCCCAAACGGCCCTAGGCAAAACTCAGGTTTTATTTTCCAACGTTTCTGCTTATTGTAGATAGCTCTGCTCTCAGATCCCAGCTCACGACCTGCATGCCTAGAGGAATTTCTGCAAATTCCACCTGTTCTGCGAAGGGTGGAGTATCTGTGAAAATCTCCCCTGACCTGCTTGTAGTGGGTACCCAAAGTAAATGGGCACACTTGAAGCTTCATTTCACTCCTCCCCACAACTTCTTTAGGTTAATTTAACCTGAAGTTTATATCACATTTTGAGATCTTCTGGGAGATGCCGTTTAGAAATTAAAAGATGCTATTAAGTTGCCATCTGCTGCCAGTGCCACAGCTGCAGTTGATGCTGCCATGGGAGAGGGATTTGATGGCTTCTCAGGGACAAGTTTCTATCAATCTCTGTCCAGTCCCAGGACAAGCCACTGGGTCATTGATAAGACATTGTCATTTCTTCACAGTTCCTGGATTTACCAAATTCCACTGGGGGTAACGATTATATTAGCATTGGTTTCTTTGGAAAGCTAAAATCTGAGTGTCTCTCATTGTGAAATTTCTACTGCAAGAGAGTGTTATCCTGTGTAAATCAGAAAAAGCAGGCTAGGGACAGATGCTGTGCCAGCTCAGACAACCTGGGGATCAGAGCCTATTTACCTGTGTCTGTGGTCACCTCTTTGCTGCACTTTACAGCAAGGATGTCCCCAGCTACTGTGACAGCAAGACTGTTCTCAGCTGTGGCCACAGACAGGAATGTTCTGAGCTCTGGACTGCCCCACTGAAGGATCTCTCACATGGGGCCTGATTTCACCCCTGGCTTTCCAACTTGCGGCTGATCTGTACCACTTCAGACACAAGGATTCAAATACTCCCCTATGCACAGGGTCCATGGTGTGGGGTCTTGTTCTGTTTTATTTTGGTGGGCCTTCTTGTAATCATCTGCTGAGCAGAACTCAGGCTTTTCAGGGGTAGGAGCTTCTTTCCCCACAGTGGCCCTACCCTGCCATGCACAGCAGGTCATCAGCTGCAGCCCAAGGAGCAGCAGGTGCTGCTTTGGTTGCAGCCCCTTGCTCCCATTTCAGAGGACTGACACTTCAGCAATGGAGAGTGTGTTTTTGCAAGGATAAATAAGTCTCAAAGGTATTCATTGCAGATCTACTTTCCTTTAGCATCAGGCATGTGTAATGCCTTCTCACCCACTAGAAACCAAACAGTAAATTGAACCCAGACCCTTCTCTGTGGCTCACTGGAGCTCCCAGAGCTATGTGGGGAGCTGACTGGAGATCAAGTCCTTTCGCATTTATTTAGAGCAGATTGCTGTAGGTCAGCAATCCTGTTTCTGGAGATCAGGTCTCAGAGAGTCTGCCCTGTCTATATATAGATTTGGAAGTTCAGCTTGGTCCATGAGGACAAGAGGCTGTGAAGGCAGTAAGTACTAGGCAAATAGTGTCAAGGCTATCAGCTGTTTTGCACCCCAGTTCCTGTCACCTACACTGCCTTTGTATGATAACCTTTCTTTGCATGATGAGTAATGCTTTGACAACATTTATCTTATGCTGCCACAAATACGAACAGTGTTAACTCTCTATTTCCAACTCTCCTACTCCTTGTAGTGGCCTATGACAGTTGAATCTCACCTGGAGCAGGAGTCTGCACCACGTCAAGGCCACAGCCTAAGGACTGGTCAGCCCAGGGGTGAGCTTCAGCAGCCATGACTGAGCAGCTACACTGAGATCTGGTCTGCAAGTGCAAAACACTCCTAAAAGTGGAGCACATAAGAAAAACCCAGTCCAAAAAGGCAGAAAGCACAAACATCTTCAAGAACTAAGGCTGCCTTAAAATTTGAGATTTTTGAAAGCAGTGATACATATTTGTTTCCTGACACCCACTTTCAGATATCTGCGTTAAAAAGTTCATCAAGCTGTTACCAGAGATGGGAAAAGTTAAAACCTTTTTCCCACTTAAAGTTCCCTGTCTGGGAGATAAGAAAAAGCTTCCTGAAAAGTGGCAGAAGTCTGGAGCTTACACAAGGAGCTTCTACTCCAAATCAACAAGCAGATGGGGGCTAGGCTGTCATCAGCTGAGCATTTCCCACTGCCACCACACAGGCCGTGGGTGCCATAATGGGATGTGCACAAAAAGAGACCATTGTGTTACCACCCCAGAATATGCATCCAATGGCACAACGAGCACAAGCTGTGCAAATCATTGGAGAAGAGCATTCATGGCAAAATAGTTCAGGAAATGCTGTCTTCTGCTTTGCTTGAAATTATATATATGGGGAAGAGTGTTTAGGAAATAAGAACAAATGGTCTTGTGGATATAATTGCTTTTACAGATCTAGAAATAATTAAGAAATTGCAAATAGCTGAATATGTTAAGGGCTAGAGATGGACGTGGAAGTTACTGCGGGAGCAGAAAGCAAAGCTGGCTTGCTTGTGAAATAACAGAGCAGCGAGAAATGCATGTTTAAGGCAAAGCCTTGTGTATGTCCATCCTGACAAGGCATGCTGCCTTACAGCTTAAGTCCTCATGCTCCCAGTTTAAATGCACTATACAATAGAACCGAAGCACATCCCACATGGGACTGGAAGTGAGGCAGGAAAAGTGACCCTACGATCATGCTCAGAATTAATTTTCTTCCTTTTGGTACCACCAACCTTGAGCTCTCTGTATGCCTTTGCCACTGGCTATCATTCCTGTATTGGGGTGGTTTCCCTACAAAGCTGACAGCAGAGTCGAGTCTCTGGTCAGCTTTTCAGAGCCTCCTTGCATCATGTCCTGTGGGAGCCTGAGACCCTGCTTTACTGGCAAGAAATTTATGTGCTTGTCCATAAACTTCATTTAAGTTTCAGAAATTTAGATCTGCGGAACTACCATGGCACTCAGGGGCAGGAGTCAAAAGCCTGTTTATCCCTCAGTAGTATAACTTAGAAGTTATAGCTCTTTAAATCTTCAGCAAGTGGCAAGTTGTGATTTTTATCTTTACAGTCTCTCAGGAAATTCATCATCAAAACCACAGACCACAGCACAAAAGAGCAATCATTTACCACAGCAGGCACTCTATTAAAGCCACTGTTACCAGGTAATAGACATGCCCATTCACAATAAATTCTCCATCCTCCCTTCAAAAAAGCCAAGCAGAAAATGCCTGATAGAGAGACTTACATGATTCCTGTATTTTCTTGCCCTCTCTTCCTTTTTTCAGTTTTGTCTTATGAAATTTGCAAAAGCCTTTCTGTGATCTTCGAATCATGGAATCACAGAATAATTAGGGTTGGAAAGGATCGTAAGATCGTCAAGTTCCACCTCCCCTGCCATGGGCAGGGACACCTCCCGCTAAACCATGTCACCCAAGGCTCTGTCCAACCTGGCCTTGAACACTGCCAGGGATGGAGCATTCACAACTTCCTTGGGCAACACATTCCAGTGCCTCTTGAAGTAATGCTGGTTTTGGGGCATCACTGCTGAAATGAACTGCTATAATGGATGAGCAAATTGTCCCCTACAGAGACAGGAAATGTAAGGGGCCAAGGGATTGCATGGCTGCTCCCAAGCAAGAGAGGCCAGGAAGCAGTCCTCTTTCATCAGAAATCACCCCCCTTTCAAGAGGTCCTGAGCAAACAAGAAAAAAACAGAGGTTGAACACTGGCAGCTGATCTAAAAAAAATCTTTTTTATTCAGACACACTCTCCCCCTAAAATCAATTTTATCAATCATCTAATGTTGACCCTTTGAAGGAGTAAGATGTTGCAGGGTTAGTCCAGAAAACAATGTGTGTACAAATGCTGCTTTTCTTTGCAGCTTTGAGCTAAGTTATAGATACCTGATCCATGGATCAGGTGAATAGTTTTAATATCTTCTTTCAAATGCAGATCCAGTAATGTGTCTGCATAGCCACAAAGACAGAAAATATGTTCTTTTTCATTCTAACCTAATCCCATAGTTGTTGTTTCAATTCATTGATTTATTAATGTTACTGTCTTTCAGGCCAAAATAGCCACATTGCAGAAGTCTGTAATATGAAAAAAAAATAGTGAGAATAGCTGTTTTATGAAGATAATTTGCTAGAATATCCTAAAATGAAATAAATATCTTTTCAGTGAATTTTCAAGAGCGAGTTGCAAGCCCCAGTTATTCCCCTTTCTGCTTTTGCAGTTGCATTGCCGCCAAAAGGCTTTTAAAGTGGAGGATTTCTAAACCAAAAGCGACCTCCAGTGGTCACACACGTTATTTATGGCTGATGCCTGGTATTTCTCTTCCTCTTGTTAGAAAGGAGGCAATGTGATAATTAGCAGCTTGCAGCAAGCATGGTCAATTAAACTGGATGTATCTCTTAAAAAAAAGAAAGAAAAGGTCAGTTAATCTGGATGCATCCTTTCATCCAGGTGTTTTGTATTCCTACTCACCAGTATGAAAGTTTTTCATTTACTTCACTTTTACATTGATGTTTCACATCTCAGGAGAGTTTTTTTCTGTATTCTGCAGAGGTATGCTGCGCCATTCTCTTTGCTCACCCTCTGCACGTAGTACAGCTTTGATGCTAACACCTTCCATATAGCAATCTGCTACAGGATGGAGGTGACCTTTTAAAAAGCAAATAATATGTCATCAAGCTTCTGAAGGTTAATTTTAACTTACACAAGCAATTACGAGTTCTGCATACTTTTACTAATAAAATCATTAATTTTCCCTTAAAAATTGGAAATCATGATGGGTTGATCTATCTTTTCCTAAGTATTTTAAGCTCTTGTGGACTCATGATTTTTTGGACACTTGACAGCAGAGAAATATGAGGCAGAGGTATAAGTCAGGGTGTTGTGGGATCTGCATCCCAGTGAATAGTCCAGAGACATGTCTAGAGTTCAGGGATCTCCTTTCATCATAAATGTCCGAGCATTTCCACTCTGCTTTTGCTGTGAGTTTTTTGAGTCAAACACATCTTCAGTGGTGTCCTGGTTTTGGCAGGGATACAGTTAGTTTTCTTCCTAGTATCTGGTATACAGTGCTGTGTTATTTTGGATGTAGGATGAGAATAACATTGATAACACACTGATGTTCTGGCTGTTGCTAAATAGTGTTTTTACTAAGAGAAGGGCTTTTCAGCTTCTCATGCCCTGCCAGCCAGAAAGCTAGGAGGGCACAGAAAACTGGGAGGCGATACAGCCAGAACAGCTGACCCCAGCTGACCCTGGGGATATTCCATACCACATGGTGTCATGCTATATATAGAACTGGGGGGGAAAGCTGGCTGAGGGCCACTGCTGAGGAACAAGCTGGGAATTGGTCAGTGAGTGGTGAGCAATTGCATTGTGCATCACTTCTTCTGTATATTCTAATAATTCTGTTATCATTATTTATTTCTTCATTTTCTGTCCTATTAAACTGTCTTTATCTCAACCCACCAGTTTTTGCACTTCTTCTCTTCCAATCCTCTCCCCCATCCCACTGAAGGGGGCAGAGTTAGCCAGTGAAACTGTGGGGCTTAGTTGCCAGCTGGGGTTAAATGACAGCAGTCTTTTTTGGAGCATGATGGGTTGAGCTAATGACAGACCAAATTTGTTATAAGCATTCATTACATTAGTTTAATAGTCGCTGCTCACAGTGTTGAGTTATTTGCTCTCAGAGCTGGCACCGCTTGTCCTCCTATTTGTATTGTGTACCACCACTTGCAGTATATGTTCACTGTTGTGCTGCTTACCGCCCATGGGAAACAGGCTAAGGCTATCATGTTGTACTTTGTAACACTGGCACTTATGATACAATAGAATTCATGGTCATGAAAGTAATCTGGTATTTGTACTCAGCACTGCCATCATTTCTGTACTTTGGGAACCATCTATTGGAAACTATTAATAATTATACCTTTCACCTTTTGGAGACCCGATCCATGGGGGAGACACCCCCTTTCATCTTCCCATTCTTCCAGGCTAATTACAATAGCTCTTTAGAATTCTGGATACCCTTGGGATGTTCAAACCAGTATGTTCCTATTGCTATGTCTTCTGAATGTGTTCCAGGTCTTGTTTAAGGTTAAACAACTATTTAAGAATATTACTCAGAGTTCTGCGCTGAGGTTGGATAGTTAGGAGTGGCAGGGTGTGTGGGGCAGTATGGGCAAGTACCAAGGCCAATGGGCACCTCTGGTGTTTTGGAACTTCACCCCTGAACAAATGCAGAATCCAGAAAAATAGTAAAATATTTGGAAGAAGTGTGCTGTCGTCCTGGGAATTCCAGAGAGGCACAAATCACTGCAATGGGCTGGGGCCTGGCTCATGTCTGACAAGCTCAGTCCAACACTAGTCAGCAGCCTCAAGGGGAAGAGGTGGTCTCTGGATCTGATGACAAAGTGACAGCTACTCAGATCCCTGTGATGGGTAGTGCAGCTGAACCAGAGATCCAACCCATGCCAGTATCAGTCACTTCTATGCACAAAAAGAAATATATACAATGATCAGCTTGTTTAGGAAGGGATGAAGAAGCAGGGGCATCATGAAAAGAGGAGGAGAAAGAGGCAGAAACCATAAAAGAGACAGTAATTACCCAATTCCTATCCATGAGTAAGCTGCAAGATATGCAGAGAGGCTTCAGCTGTCATCAGGCAAGCACATTGTCACTTGGCTGCTATGATGCTGGGATAATGGGGCCAGTAGCCTGGCATTAGAGAGTAAGGGAGCCAAGCAGCTGGGACTGCTCTTGGAAGGAAGCCCTGACAAAGGGTTTGAAAAGGGGCACAAGCCATCAGACTCTGGAGGTGACTCCAGTCAGGCATGAAGGAGAGGTATCCTTTAAAAAAAAAAGACTTTATACGTTACTCAGGCAAGTGGACCAACATAGACAGAGGTGTCCAGTACTTGAGGGATTTGTGATGACCCAGACAACAAGCAGTTATCCAAAGACCCAGACGAAATCAAGTTTACACAACCCATGTGGCAGACAGAGCACACATCGTTGTATGCTAACTCACTGGCACTGATGAGCTAGAAAGGTGGAGAGAAACAAATGGTGGATGAATTGGCTGGCCAATCTTGACAGTACATGTCTCTTTCTTCCTATGGGTTTGCAATTTGCCTCTGGAGAAACTGGTCCAACTCAAAGAGAATAGATCCTACTCACCACCTGTAAGGATTAGTACATCAGCTGTTAACAGCTCAACGGTTCTGCTCAAGAGAGAGGATACAGTGGGTATACACCACACACCACACTGAAGTTTCACCTCTTTGACCACAAAAAGGACATAAGGTAGCGGGATGGAAAAGCTACCTCAGCCCCTTGAGGTACGTGAAGTACATGAGTTGCAAGGAAAACCGATCACTTCTGTGATCAGGAAGAATGATTTCAAATGGGTCCCTGAGCAATGACAAGCCTTTGAAAAAATTAAAAGAAAGATAGCTCATGCAGTAGCCCTTGGACCATTTTGGGCAGAGCAGGATGTGAAAAATGTGCTCTACATCGCAGCTAGGGAGAACAGTCCTACCTGGAGCCTCTGGCAGAAAGTTCCAGGGGAAGCAAGAAACAACAGTATGAAAGCTCTCTTGAAGAACAACAGCTTCCTTAATTTGTATTAGCCTAATTTGAAACAAAGCAGATTAGACTTGAAACAGAGTTTTCCCAAAGGTATTTAAATGTCTTTATTTTTATATCTTCAGCTAAATTGGATTCACTGTCTGAGCCCTGGTATTTTTGGAAGGTCAGTGGAAATGCAACAGTCATTGCAACTGAGCTAATTTAAAGAAATACAGTAAAAAAGTTTGGGTATTCATAAATCCTTTCCCCTGGAAATTTTATGTTGGTGCAATAGAGACCAAAACTAAACCGTAAGTCAAGTAAGACTTGACTCTCAGCTAAGATTGAGAAATGAACTGTAGCACTTGGCCTAGTCAGTGCAGAGCTGGCCTGAGACAGGATGACAAAGCTATTTTCCCTTGTGCTGCTGGATGAGTTTCAATAGCCCAATGCAACTTTCTCAGTTGCTCCATCTGTTAAAAGGGGATTATGCTAATAACATCTTTTGTAATATACTTTGTGATTCATAGAGGCTATGCTGTGTGTAAGCCAGGTAATGCATTTAATAAACAGATAATAAACATAGTAATATTTCCCGCCTCCTATGTAAAAAGTAACATTACGTGAAGGGAGTTGAAATGATGGAAGAAGGAAGCTTGCTTTGTTTTTCATTTCAACTGCCCCTTCTGCTCCACTCCTCACCAGTATTACACTTGTAAAGAAGGAGCCCTTGAAGATGGCCACAGAACATTTCTGTATCAACACATTTGGATATTAACTGTGTCACTGAGCTTATGTGTTGCTCAAAATGACTATTCTCTTGTTCTTCCCACCACCCTCATTCCCCTCCTCCTTTCAAACCTACTGAAACTCCACTATTAAGTTGTGGATAGTCAGGCCCTAATAGTATAGCTGAGAATAAACAGTTTCCTGAAACTCTTATTTATGTGACTAGATCACTGATTTTTGTATTCTTTCTCCTCAAATTGCATAGCACAAATCTCAGTAGATCAGGAAATGGTTCAGAAAAGAAAGCTCTGTTCAGACCTGTGAAACACAAAGAAGATGGATAATTGAAAGGGAGTAACATTTTATCTTAGCATAACTCTGCCACAGACAAAAGGTAGTTTATTAATAGGGGTTTGGCAGACATACTGTACCAACACTTAAAGACTACAAGAAGAAAACCAAAGAAGGTGTCTAATTTCCTGTAGGCAGTATGTGCTTAATGGGTGACAGGTTAATGCAGCAGTAGAGGCAATGGTCAAGTGTCCTAACTATGTTATCTCAGTGGTTCTGGGCAGCTGGGTAGGAGAGGGCAGTTTCTCTGACGAATGAAGCACTATGAAAGAGTTCTGCACTAAGTATTAACCCAGTGCTTATTGCAGAACCCAGATATTTAGCTTTTGCATGGACTGGGCACTTTTTCTGTTGCCTGCAAGTAGTCATTAGCAGGACAGCCTGTGGTGATGGTGATGGAGCCAGGTTTCGGAGAAAGGACGGGAAGAGATGGCAAGAGTGGAGTTGGGGAGTAAGTGGTGACAGATCCAGAGGGACGGTGGCACTAGCTAAAGGGTAAAAGGTTGTCCTTTCACAGAACACCCATATAAGATGTTTGCAAGAGCTGGGCTGCATCCAGCTCAGCAATGTTTTCCCTTAGCTTTTGGCAGGAGCTGGAGGGAGCCTTCACCCTCAGCTAAGGAAGGCTGCCAAAGGCCAGAGGCATCAGCCTCTAGCCTTTCCTCACATGGCATCTGGTGAAGAAGCCTCAATCCCACCCAGCCTCTTCAGAGATTCCCACAGGTTCCCTGTGGCTCCAAACTCCTGCTTTCCCATGGACTGATTTTGTCTCCACCTACGTTGGTGGGAGCAAAATAGGATGTTGCAGGTTTATTACTACATTTGTGTTCAGTGGAAACACAGGGCTTATTTGAACCCACAGAGGGATTCATTTCTACAACCTAAAGACAAGAATCCTACCGGAGTAAATCCATCCTTGAAATCGTCTCTGCCTCTCTGCCACCTACAGAGGGAACTGTAAGCTCACTTAGGCTTTCTGCTGAGGTTTAGGAAGATGCCACTTGCTAGGAATCTGCACGACTTTTACACATGGTTCTGTAACTGTCTTGTGCCACTTCACAGCTATTGAAAAACGGTGGCCTTATTTGCTCGGTAACAGCAGTGGTTTTTTTTCTGCTTTGTAAAGGCCTTTGTAAATCCCCAGACAAGCATTCCTGAAACCAGGACATCAGGAGCGCTGCAGCAGACACACCTCCTGACCATGTGCTGACCTTGTAGTTGCTGGATGGCATGTTCCTCACCCTGCCACACACATCAAGCAAACTTCTCAACTCATTCTACGCTGCCTGCATTAATGACCTCCTATTCCTTATTATACTAATAAAGCTGGTGACAAGCATCAGGCAGTGAATGAATGATCAGACTTTTGAATGCTAATATTTGGAAATCCGTCACTTTTCTAAATTAGGGAGAGCTGCATAAGAGAGAGACCCCGGCACAACTTTTGTTTTGTCCCTGTCCCCTGTTTTGCATGTGGCAAAGTGGGTCACAGTTAAAGCTTCTATGCACTGCTGAAGGCCAGCAAACAGCAGTCTGAGAGTCTTGGTACACAGATGGATCATGCTCTAGCAATGCTATGCTTCTTGTTGATTAGAAAGGGAATCCAGACATAACCATCATCCAGATGTAATCATCTTTGTTATGGATGTCTAACATAAAAGGGGGAGACCCAGTATCTGAACCTACTTTAAAAAGGTGGCCTTGAAGACAGGAGGGCTATTCTCTGTCCTTAGTCAGATAGGTATATCTAGGCTGCATATAGGAGGGTTTATGTTAAACATCTTTGCATTATATACAAGGGTGACTCCAAATCTAATGCTATCTCACTAACACTAACAAACCAACACAGGCATCTTTTAACTCGGCTGATGCTACATAATGAAAACTGTGACCTGGGTGAAAAGGTGTTGCCACGTCAAGGAAAAGAAAAACAGGGACACCTATGTGCTTGCTCTCTGCAGGAATCTTCACATAGAATCACATTATGGGCATTTTATAATGAAAACATGTAAATATGTGGAAGCCTGCTACCATGGAAAGGTTCTCTCTTGTCACTTTTTGCTAACTTCCTCATCTGTGAAGTTAATTAAAAAATGGCGTCAGCCAGTCTTGACGTATCAGGTGTTCACTTTTCACAGAGCAGTAATCTTTCATCCAGCTGAATGCAGGATTGCCTTCAAAGTCCAGTGTACTCAATAAATGATTCACAAACTGGAACTTCAAATGTTCCTTTGATTTAGCTTCTGAGGAAATACAGCCCTGCGTAGGTAACAAACACCAGTCAGGATCCTCTAATGAGAGAGGTGGATCTCTGATGTCCTCAGCCATGTTGCTGGATACTGGGAGAGGTTTGTGGTGTGGGTCTTGATACCTGTTTCTCCATATCATTCTTAAACTACAAATTCAGAAAATAAAGTCCCAAAACATTCCTAGGGGCAGTTGGTTGTTGCTGTATCAATCCAGTGCTGCTTCACCACCAGCCTAGCAACAATGGCATCCTCAGGAGTGTAAAATAAACAACTGTAGTTAACCTGCTGTTGTATTCTTGGGTCAGCTGCTCCATGTGGAGCAATTGCTGATGACTTAAACTGCATGCTGTATAGTTGGGATCTGTAAAGCTTCATCCATAGCACTGCACTTACTGGAGAAAAACTATATGGCATTTAGCAAAAGAGAGTGATAGGTGGCAGGCTACTGAGCCTGGTTTAGGCAAAAAACAGGGAAGCAGGGGGAGAGGCATGAGACCTGTGAAAGTATGATGCTGTCACATGGTGGAAGAATTTCAAAGCCAGTGCAATTATTTTAGTATTAGTTAAAGCCCAGTTAAGGCCAAGGGATCATTAACATGTTTTAAAATATTTCTAAAGACTTTTAAAGCTTCCTATATAAACAATACTAAACTTACACTGCAGGAATAATATGTTCCTGACCCACTGCATTTTGAAACATTTCTGCCCAAGAATTTGAGGTAAAAAATTTCCCCTTGTTCTGCACATACTGTTTGTCTACTAGTCTGCAAAGCTGTAGCACATTCTGATCGTTTTTTGTGACCGCCTTCTTCCTAGAAACAGTCCTGAACAGTGTGTAGCGTTAGTGAGGAAAACAAATCACGTGCAATGAAAGGCACACTTAGTTTTCCCCTCCTCCTTATTTTCTGGCATCCTGGATAAAAGCCAGTAGGGAAGTGTTTCCAAAGTCTATTTATGAACTTGTGTTTACTTTTACACACACGTAGTCTTTACCACATGCAAGCCTTGTGTACTGACATTCAGAACCTTTGTGAACATTGAGAAATACAGTTTCATAACAGTGGGCTGAGGTCGATCCTGTTTTCCTTATTTTATATTTAAAAAAGAAACATAAGCAAAGGGAGGTAAGCTGGATTGTGCAGCAGAGCACAGAAAGCCCATGACAGTGCCAGCCACAATGGAAGTTCCCAAACTTCCTGACCCACCCCTCAGGTGTAGGATTGTTTTCCCTCTGCTGCTGCTTCCACTCCAGAAATCTGATCTTGGGACACAAGTTCTGTCCTCTCCATATTACAACCATACCCATGTTCCACAAAATGACCTTCACTTACTCCCGAAAAGGCTGTGGCTAGCAAATAAAAAAAATATGAAGACTACACATAAGGCAATGACATGTTTTTTCTGCAGTTAGTAACGCACATGTGAGGCTTCAAGATTTGATTTCATGAAAGGTCTGAAAGAACAGCAAGCCTACCTGTATTTCTTTTTCCCAGATGGACAGAGAACGTGGAAAAAATGTATAAATAAAATGTATATTTTAATTAAATGAACACTAACACAGGGTTATTATCACTCTTCCAAACCTGCCATGAAGCCATTTCTTAAAACCTGTTGTGCACATTACTCTGTTGGTACTCTTGCTGACTCTGGATGGTAACTTACATGTTAGCACTTAGATATCAGTACTGACTTGAAGCAACTTGCCTCTGTGGCAAAATTTAATCTCTGAATAAATTGTATTCTGATGGGAGGCTTACCACAAATCAATGAGCAGGGAGATGGGAAGCTGCAGCCTAAAATAGCTATGATACCCACAGGGAAGACCTCAAAGTAAAAGTCTACAAGCAAACAAAATGAGTAAACAGAAAGAATAAAGAAGCCCAGCTGATTTTGAAAGGTCAGCCTCAAATGCGACCACTACCTCCTACTTGCTGCTGTGACATTTATGCCATGCTACAGGGGCAGCTGCATTAGGCAAACAGACAAAGGGCTCAATTCACAACACAAAAATCTTGTACAGCTTTTCAGGGTACTCCATAAGGTTTTGTGCCCTTCCTCTTCCTAACCCTGCCCTTACTCCTGAAACTCATGCCCAGGTTTTCACAGAAAGTGAATGGGATCAAGGAATGCTCCTTTCCTAAAGATCCTGACAAGCTCTGTAAGGTATTTGTATGTGACCTATGTCAAAATTTACTAGCAAGTGAAAACACACACAGACTGTGCCTGGTGTTACTTAAAGAGCAGGCAGCAGCACAACAGTTATAGCAGCTTTTATTCCTGTGTACTTCTGGGTGCTGCAGAGCCTGGCAATCCAGTGTGTGTCAAAAACCCAGTTTCTCAAGCCTGTAAAGAAACCTGCTCCGGGTATAAGCTCTGCTGCAGTACCTGTTTGACCAGAGTATGTCTAAACTAAGCCAAGAGCTTCTAATAACTCCTGATTTCTTTTCTTCCTGAGGGTCCTCTGTGTACCTGGCTAAGCACATATGTGGTGTCTCAGAATGAGTATCAGGTCAGGCATCAGCTTGGTCTGTTCTCTCTCATGGTAACCCAAAAGTTTCCAGATTCTTCGTGGGTGCAAATCTCATATTCTCTTGGATCTAGCTCTGAACAGTTCTGCCTTGAGCATTAACAGTGAGGGTCTGGATAACCCAAAGCTTCCCACAAGGCTAAACCCAAGGTGCAAAATCATGTAGGGTGGAGATACCACAGTCGTGCACCTCCACTATTTGCCAGACTTCTACCCCTACCTTTGAGGAGGAGGCAGTCATTTTAACCTTACTTTGATGAAAGACACTTATGGGCTTCCTCAGTGGTCTGGAGGAGAGCTGCAGCTAGCAGCTCCCATTTCAAGGCCTGATGGTGAACCCATCCTGTGAAGGAGAGGGCTGACAGGCCTCAAGGTCCGGAAAGGCTGATGCCATGAGGGAGGGTGTGATGATCGGGTGATGTGGAAACATCACCTCATTAAACTGCTTTTGGTAGCCTAGGGCAGCTCCTGAGAGGCACATTCCCAGGTGCAGTGTTAACTGCAGTCATTAAATTATCCACCAAAAGCGAGCAGCAGGCGTGGCAGTGGGGCCATCACATCAGCCTATGGAGGCGGCTGTCAAACATGTTCCTTGAGCTGAATGGTTTGGTGGGCATGAGGAAAGGCTTTTATCAGCCATCAGTAGATGTGTCATCAGGTTTTAGATAAACAGCTGATAATTTTTGCTGTGAGTAACTAACCTGAGGTTAAGAAATGGGAGGAGCTCACCAGAAAGAATTTGGACCTGGTATAAGGCACCAGACTGGACAGGTGTATTTCAAAAGCCAACACTGGAGTCTTTTGTGTTAATCCAGAGCTGGGACACAGTGAGATGCTTGTCTAAGTAATTTAACTGCATGCAGCATTTCACCTCGAGTCCTTACTTTTACCTTTACTCAAACTCAGCTGTGGTTAGCAAACCACTGTGCCTGGGCTCTACTGAACATCACAGCAGTCCAAAAGTTCTCCCACTGCTTTGCAAAAAGATTGGAGCTCTAGGACAGAAATGCCATGGATTTATTGCAGAAATGCCATAACTTTTTTTTTTTTTTTTTTGTTTAAAGCTGGATTATTGTGAACTATTCAGCATTTATCTGGATTTAAAAATAATTTGGGAACTTCAGATAGTGCAAAATGGAACTGTTTTTTCAGCAGTGACAGGACAGGGAGAACATTGCACTCATGCTGCAGGAGCTGTCCTGGCTCCCACACTGTCCCTGAAGCAATTTCTGACAAGAGCTCTCTATAGTTACATTTCTTTGAGGTTATTCACTGATATCCTAAGCTCCACCTGACTCTAGTTACACCTCTCCAGGAAAACTTAATGTCTTACTTATCAGTCAAACCTGACTATTCCAGGTACTAGGAAATGTTTTAGGTCATTTAGAAACATAATTTGGTCATGTGCTGAGTTTAGGATTGTCATCTTATCTTGAAAGAAGCTGGCCTTCTTTCCCCCTTGTGGCTTAAAAGATACTCTATAGTGGAGATAGTATCCTCTCACCAAAGATACTGGCTCTGGGTCTCTGTGGAAGAACAGATCAGCTGCTCTGCAGAGAACTTATAAATCACCTCTGGGCATCAGAGGTGGGTCATACAATTGTCTTGCAAAATCAGATGTTCCTTAAGGGAAGAAATAGGATGTCTCTATTTGGTATTAGCAGCAATGAAGAACACATGCAGCATGTACTTAACTCCATTAAATGGCATGATTGCTGTAGGAACCAGATTTAAATTAGCTGAATAATTCACAAATGAGTAATTGTGTTGACAACATCTATTGCATCAGTGTGATGAGTTAAACACCAGTCAGGTGATGTGAGACTGAGTCAGAAGTTTGAGACAGAACAGCCTCCTAGGTCGCCCAACCCTTCCCTTGGCTACTCTGCCATCCTTCCTTACAACTTGTTTCTGCAATGTTTTCTTAGTCACATTCAAAGTATTTAATGTAACAGGGTTTTTGCCACCAGTTTCTGATTTCTAGGAAGCTGCTCCTGAAAATGCAGCCTCATCCTCCTGTGTCACTTTGTCACAGAATAATGGACTACAAGGCTAGAAGAGACAGAGAGATCATCTGGTCCATTTCTGTGCCTACCGGCAAATTCAACTATAATTAAAACATTTCTGACAAATGCTTGTTCAGGCTGCTCTGAAAGACCTCAGCCTCTTCTAGCAAGCCACATCAGAGCTTGCCTACTCCTCATAAAGTTTTCCTAATGCCTAAATGTTTCCTGTGACATGTCATGCTCACTGCATCTCAGTATCTCTTCCAAGGAGACATGGAATACACTTACCCCCTTTTCTTTTTTTCCTTTGCAATATTATTGTATAAGATACTTTTCACTCTAGTGAGAGTATGAAGTATCTGGCATGTATCATGCTGTATCTGTAATTTCTCGTTTTACTCATCTTCTATCAAATAAGAAATCTCTTAATTCTTAAACATCTAATTTCTCTAAATTCTAAAAATATTTAGCTGAGAAAAGTACAGCTTGGCTTAATGCCGCCAGAGCAGGCAAGACAGGGTCATAAAGCCTCTCTTTTGGGGTCAAAAGGCAACTACTGCATTGCACCACAAGTTACAATTTTCTTATGAATATTAATGTTAGACATCAGGAGAACTGAGCAACAGGACTTGTGACACACTCCTGGAAGGAGGAAAATTCAGGTAGCTCAGAGGATATCTGGATTTGCTGGGTAGACTGGTGCCAGTGAACTAAACAGTGACAGTGCCCATCCTTTGGCTTTGATGCTACCTGGTGTGATCTAGTCACCTCCATGCTATTAAGCACCTTCAACCTCAAAACCAGTTGACCCCATTCAGATTCCTGTTGGAAATGCTCTGTGCTCATTCCCAAACTGGGAGCTGCTAGCTGGCTGGGGCTGCAGCCATGCCAAGCACTATTCTTCCAGTGTCAGGGCACAGACCAGAGTGTCCCAGTGCCTCCGCCTCTGCCTTCACTATGTTTAGTTTTCTTGTACGGGAATAGCCCTTGTGTCCTGTTTCACCAGCTTAAGTGAAAGTTCATCTTTTCCTTACAATAGCTTTGTTCTCTAAGGTCAGCAGGGTGACTACAGACTGGCATGGCTGAAAAACAGATCTGACACATCATGTCTACTTCAAATTAATTTTTACTCATGTCAGTTTGCATTTCCAAGCTTACTAAATAGGAAAGGCAGACAATCAATTTATAACAGTCACACTAAACAATGGAGAAAATATCATTCAATAAACACTAAAATTTTCCATTAATTGCATGACTGAATGAAAGCTCCTTAGGGCTGTTTTTCAAATGTGATCACACAACTCTAAAGATCAAATGCTTAATAGCAACATCAACTGTACTTTTAGACTGCTGGCAGGGATCCTGGAGAGTCGCGTGGTTGTTACAGCAGTACACAAAGAATGTTTTACAGGGCTGTCTCCAATCACTGTTTTTTCAGAGGAACTGAATGCACAGGCAGCAGCACTATTGTACAATTACCAACTCTGTTGCAACTCACTGTTGACTTCCCTGCTAATGAAACGTAACAATTTTCCTGTGGCAGTTCCTATAATTGTGTTTCTGAAATTTATTTATTTATTTATTACATCAAGACACTTTGTTTTTAAGAAAGAAAGGGAAGAGAATGAGAGAAAGAGGAAACAAAAGTGAAGGAAGAGAGAAAGGAGGAGAAAAACAGAAGGGATGGACAGAGGGAGTGAGGGAGGGAAGAAGAAGAGAGAAAAGAAGAAAGGGAGGGAAGGAGGAGGGAGGGAGGGAAAAAGGAGACGGACAAGGAGGGAGGGTCAGTCTAGTCCTTTCAAGAATACAGATACTTGAAATCTCATCTGAGCTGTTTTCTAGTTGGGTGGAATGCAAACCAGACTGCAAAGTCTGGGGAATGAGGAAGAAGGGATGAATTAATTCAAAAAAACCCTCTCCCAACAGGTCCCTGATGTTGTGAGTAAGAAAGCAGCACTTCCTAGTGTACTCCTGGCCTCACAGGCGCTCCTTCCAGCCCATCCTCCATGCAACTATTCTGGACCTAGTAGTGTGCACAGGTGCCAGATTGGTGCCCTAACTCGTTCTTGTTTTGCACAGATTATTTCCTTTAGGAAATCCAGAGGCCACAGATAAACTGTGGGGCTAGCATTTTCCAAGGAATGAACCCAGTTGTTCACAAATACTGCATCCAGCTGGCACGTCTGGGTTTCCTTCTTACATGGTCAAGACATGGACAGGGCTTGCACTTCTCCCTGGGAGGTGGAAGTGCTCCTAGAATTAAAGATGTGACAAAGACTAAAGACATACACAGACACCCACATCTCAGTCTGTGTAAAATGGGATGAAACTGTGATATTTCTTGTTCTAAAATATTTAGTGTTATCACTGAACAGTCAGCTGCTATGGTATTTTCAAGTCACCATCTTGGTCAGCAAAGCAGCACAATACCTCTTAAACCCAAACAGGCACATGCAATAGGAAAATGTAATTCTATGAAATCCAGCATTTGTATTCAACACGCATCTGTATTTCAGTGAATAATATAGCCTGCAAGGCTATTTCTGTTCATTTAATTGGTGTAATAATGCCAGTATTTTTGTTCTGCATAGAAAGGATAGAGTTGTTGTTAAAAAACAGTGGGCCATATGGAAAGAGATCTGTTTCTAATTTGGATGCTAACTTCCTTTGTAATGCAGAGTAAGTCATTTAATCAGGGTGTATCTTAGTTTCTTCATTTGAAAAATTGAATTAATAATACCTCCTGGCCCACGAAGTTGTTGACAGACTCAGTAATTTGTGTTTGAATAGTGTGGTGCAAATCCTAATGGAATGCTCAAATACAAGGTATTATCATGCAGAGAAGACCTATGTGCTAGACTTCTACTGTCTTCTTGTGATAGTGCCAGCCCAAACTTACATTTCACATCACCCACACAAAATGTCATTCTACTTATACACATAACAGACTATGTGAGTGTAATGAACATTAGCAGAGCCCTTAAGAACTGTGCCTACCAGAACTGGTGAATTTGTTTCTGTAATGCTTGTTTTTCTATTTCTCATTTCTCCTTATTTGTTATTGTTCATTAGCTGTATTTAAATGAGGCAAAGTTCGGAAAAGGGATCATTTCATGCTTTTTCAGTTTGCTCAGTAGGATTCTGCAGAGCATTCTGGGTGTTATATAACTTGAGAATGATAGAAAGTATAATGACTTTGTTTGCTTTTATTGTTGAGCATTTGTGCTTGAAGAATGTTGAGATTTGAATATGAGGGAAAATGAATGTTTTCAGAACACGCACCACCAGCAAACTGGGGCCATATTTGAATTTTAATTTTTCTAAAGAACAAAGGGGAATCTTTTAAATTATTTATTCATATCATGGTATCATCCTGTAGAATTAGTCTTTTCAGTATAAAATTTCAGTGTGGAATAAAAAAATAGTACAAAATGCAATACAGAATTTCTCTTCAGTAACTTTTTTGTTTAAGCATGAATCCCATCACCTCAAGCATCACTGGAAGTTTATCTTTTTACTAGGTATTATTTTTTTCTACAATATATTTTGCAACTGTGTCTTCTTTAAAAATGAAGAAGATACTACACACTCCTGGGTATTCAGGAAGAGGTTGTCACAGTAATGGTGTGCCACCTCAGCTCTGTAAGTACAGTTGTTCTGTTAAGTCTCCTGTGCTGCCAGCCCCTGAACTCCAAGTTGTTTCAAAGGGGCTGAAATAATGCTCTTCCTGTCCCACAGAATTCCTTTTCTTGTCCTATTGGTTATTAGAGGTCTTCTTTGTTGTGGTCCACGCTTCTTCAGGTCTCACAGGCATCCCCTGCTTCCAAGCTCTTTCCCACCAGTGAATCAGATTAAATCCTTCTGCAAAACCCCTGAGAGAGAATTGAGAACATCTCAGTACAGATGAAAAGTGAGGATGGTGCAAGGAAATCACAAAGGAATCAAAGGAGAGGTATTCACTAGAGCACCTGGATTCCAAGGACCTAAATTGAGGCCTGGATACATTAACTTCTGTGAGTAGTTAATTAACTATTTTATTCCTCATTATTCTTTGTTTCTTTCAGATTCCATTGATGAAAGATCCTGGTTGGATTCGAAGTGTCTGGACTCGCAATCTAAATGTAGGAATTTAATCGTTCATTTGCTTTTTAACTCCAGTGCCCTAGGGCAGTCCTAGCTTGAAGCTTGGGTGGTTTTTGGGAAAACAGGGTAAAGGAGTGGCTAATTCTTGTCTACCTTCTGGTACACAGCACAGCATCTCGAAGTGTCACTTTTTGCATCCTGTCTTACTGTATGTCCACTGTGGTATTACTACTCCTGTGAAAGGTTGGGTGGCTCTGTGGAACTGGTTGCCCTCACATGTGGCTGGTACTAGCATGATAAGATTGGAAACAGACTAAAAATATATAAATCTGACACCTGACCTGGGCAATAAGCACAGAATCAGCAAACCTGTGGCCCATGTATGATACAAGACATGTCCCTTCTAGTGAATGTGTGCCCAGACACCCATGCTGCTGCTCTCCTGGAAGGCAGAGAACACATCTGTAAGTTGGTGGTCTTAGGACACAGCCATGAACTGGACAGAAGAACCTCTCAGGAGAAGCAATGAGAAAGGGAGAACAGCACTTCCCACCCCATTTATAGAACTACAACTGCTGAACAACTGGTAAAGGAGGGAAAAGAGGCAGATCCAAGAAACAAACTGATGATTTCCTAAGTTATTCTGGACTGTACTCCTCAGAGTGACCTACTCTGGTGAAGGTGGGAAGAATATTTAGTGGCTGGCACGTTTGAAATCACAGCTAGAACCAAAGCACTTCTACCCAGCACCAATTAAAGCCATGTAGACACATCTGCTTAGCTGAACTATTGCAGTCATTTGTACAGCTCTGTGTAGGTTTCACAGATGTATTAACCTGGGTGGAGTACAGTGTTAACATTGCTATACTGCTGTCTCACATAGATCCCACTCAGGTGTTTCTGTACAGCCTACATAGTGCGGTATAGGATATATTCTATGCTTTACAGAGGAAACTTCCTGATCCAGGAATCTGTGGTGACTTGCATGTAGCTCCTTGGTGTGCTAGCTGGTTGGTAGAGCTTGACAGCTTTTCGATTTGGGCCTGGCAGATGTAGGTCAAGATTTCCACAGAGGTATGCCAACTTTTACAAAAGGAGCTAACCTTTACAATGAGTTTGGTACTAAAATGTCACACAAACTGAACAGGTGGATAAGGCAAAGAAGCAGTCTGAAATGAAGGTGAGGTTGATCGCTCTTGCAGGGGTTGGGTTTGAACATTCAATTCAGTAGCTGAGCTATGCAGACAGAAAGTTACCTGGGAATTCAAAATGCCAGTAAAATAAACAGGGAAGGAATTCCTGTTAGCAAAGGACAGCATAAAATCTGAAGATTAAACACATGTAAAGCAATGCTACATATGTGATCTTTCCTTTCCAAACTTTGGGAACATTCAGATCTACATTCAGGTGAGGTTCTGAACTTCACAAAAACATCTCCTGGGTAACCATAACACGCCATGTGAACTTGTATTGCAACTTTGAAAGAACTGAGGAGAATGCGTTCTTGCAGTAAGATTATACTTTAAGAAGAATTTTAAGTTTATGGTTTATTTGGGCAAAATTTTAAATTCACTTTTATATATTGTTACATTGTTTGTCCTAGATTTCTCATAATGTAGTACACAAACACATGAAGAAGAGGAGGAGGAAGAATTTTGTAATGTGGATGTGCTACATTGAAAATGTGCTACACAGAAGATAGATAATGGAAAATTAGCAAACTACTAGCAATAAAAAAGTCCCAAAGATATCGCAGACAAGGGATGTGTTTGTACTTGCTGTGCCTATGTCTGTGCAGGTATGCAGCAGTAAAACGGAAAGTGAGAAAACCCTATCAAACTGAATCTGCCATAGGAAGCAGGACAAATTACATCTGACCTGGACAAGGCTGATGAGCAATAAGCGTGATCCCAACCCCATGCAATCAACATGCAAAACATGCAGGGTGAATGAGCTGGGCCATCACTGCAGGGGAGGGGCAGCTGGTATCACCGGGATGACTGCACAGGGAGGCTTTTTTGTTTGTGCCCAAATTGCAGTGTGGGGGTGGGCAGGGGGAAAAACAGGGTGTCTGAAGAGTTCTAATCAGAAGCAGACATCTGCCTTGACATGACTCTGAGCTACCTGAACTCTGAGTGGGTATGACTTTGTTTTTTATTCTATGAACTAGAATTATTTTCATTATTTTCTGACCAGGCCTTTGTCTCTTGTACTATAGCACAGCTTGATAAAAGGTACTAGCTGCTTGCCTGTACCTAGTCTTGCTTTTGAAAAACAAATTCCACCTGTTTGAAACAATGAGCAAGACCATTTGCTTGTGTAATGCAGAGCTCACTCGCTTGAACGGGATTGTGTTGCTTTGTGTGAAGTGAGCAACAGGCCTGATACTTTTCAGACTCTAAGCTCACTAGGATGGGAATTCTCTTTGTGCATGATATGCTGAATACAATGTCACTGACATGTGAATAATAGTATAACAAGCTCATGTTGCTGTTGTGGGTAGAAGCTGAGAAGTTTGAGAGACTGCTCGTGGTATCTAGATTTGTCTGCAGTAGATAAACTGCACAGTAAACTGTAACAAGGGTAGTAGGAATGATTCTCTGAATGAAAGTCTCTGATGAATTCTCAGATTTGCATAAGGGGATATGTAATGCATACAGACCACCAGGACAAAGGCTTTCTACCTGGAAATGTTTAAGAACTACCTCTGCCAAATTTATGGAACAGGGATAAATGATTTCCACAGTGTGCTACTTCTTGAATGCCAGCTTCTCAAAATAACTCTGAAACTTCCAATTTTTAAAAAAAGTTTACATATGTATGTGCTTGTAAGAAGCTTCTTTCAAATTGTGAACAGAAATACACTGACACAGAGTTGACCCTCACTGGGTTTTATATAAGGGCAAGATCCAGAGAATGACACATAGCGCAGTCAGAATTCATTACACATTCATCTACAGTATTTTAATACTGGACTACCTAAAATTGTTTCAACTTTCTCTATTCAACACTGAATTAGATTTCCTTATAATGGATCATTGCCTCCCAACTGCCATTCAAATACATAATCATTTCCGGTCAGATTACATAGCCACAATAAGACCCTTTACATACAGGTGTCACTTGCAAAATCTTTTGTGCATTTTATTCTTCATGACTCTCATACTTCAGAATCATGAAATATAAATTCATGAAATTCAATTATTAATATTTGAAACCTGACACTGTCCATTAGGATAAAATTCTAACTTTTGCTCAGCTTTCAGCACAACAGCAAAAATCAGAAAAAGGCAGTCCTTCCTGTCAATCCACAGGCTCTAGTTCCCTATTATATACTTCATTTTCTAATCCCAAATTGGCTGATACATACTGTCACAGCAAGCCTAAGTTAAGTTTTCCAAATAATTATTTTAGATTGATGGAGATGAAATGCTGTTTAGCTGAAAGTCTAAAATAACATTCATTACTATGATCAGGGATTGTAGTGCTGTAACACTTCAGAGACTACACTAATTTTGACACCAAGAATATTTGAGGGAAGGATTTACTACTGAGTTAAAAGGGACACTTCTCCTACTCATGGAAGTTTGAACATGAAACTGAAATAAAGTACTATTTTCATGGTTTTGCAACGTCAATCACATGTATTAACTATATTAATACTCTGGATGTTGAAATAATAAAAATGAAGCCAGTTCCTCAGGTAATGTCACATGGATATGCATATTGTCACAGAAGATGTAGAAAAAGATAGCGAGTACAAAACCGAAATAAATGACAATGTTCCTGCTTTAACATACCTGATTGAGAGGTACCAGTGAGAGTTTTGTATCTTGGCATAAACCAGGGAAATGAACTGCTTAGACAAGAGAAAGACTACAGTAAACAACCTTATTTACTGATTAATTGCCCAGGCTTGATGTAAGTAATTAGAGAATTTAATGTCCTGTAAATGCATGTGCAGGATCTAATACTGTGCCTCAGCTCATTTCTAGCATTTTGACACAATCTTAATCAGGAACTTTATCAGTAACAATGCATTTTTGAGAACAAATCAGCCCACAACAGTAAGATTGTCAGCTCTGACAGCAAGCAAGACTGAAAAGATCATTTGCTTAAGCCAAATATGTTTTTAAAATATAACTTATTTTTTAATATAAATTTAAGACAAATATATTTTCAATGTATTTTAAAATATCATTGTTCCATGTAGCTCAAACTTTGCTGAGGAAATTATTATCACAAGCATTCAAAGGATGACTGTACTTTAACTCAAAAAACCACACAGTCCTTGGTATAAGCTGCAATCACTAAAATCCCCAATAATTGCCCAAATCCCCAATAATCCCCAAAAATCCCCAAGGAAATGCCTCTCAGAAAGGTTATCCTTCCACAGTATCTCCCTGAATCACGCGATACTGAATCTAGAGGTTAAAGATCAGAGAAATCTGAAATACGTGCTGCCAGATTATGGTGTCCTTACAGCTCAGCACACAAGGAATAATAGCACAGTGCAGGAAGACCTGAGTGCCAATGCTCTTGAACAGACAAAGCTTTTGCACCCTTACACCTGCCTCGCCATTACAGAAAGCCTCATGGAGGGAAAGCAGGCACCGTTTAGGGGGAGGCGCAGGATCCACACCTGCTGCATTGGGAAAAGTGAAAAAGTGCCTTTTTCCATCATACAGACAGGTATTTCAAAAAATGCCCTAACCTGGTTACATTTTACCACTTCAAATATTCCAAAAAGTTGAGTCTTAGTGAGAGTGCAAAAAACACCCAACAACCCAAAGAGTAGCAAGTGGTTGGATTATCTCTTTTTTTTTCCCCCAGCAAAACAAGTAAGATAGGGCTGAAGAAGGAAAGTTTCAGGCAAAGCTTACAGATGCCCTCCTATCATCCAGTTTATATGACAGCCTGAACTAATGACAGTACCTGAGATAGTGCAGAATCTTCTGACTTCAAAGCCAAGTAAACCTGTTGCTTCTCGTAAGTATAAGCAAGAGACAGAGCACCCCTTCATTCACCAGGATCCACA